CCAAACACTTGGCAAATTTTGCTGCTGCAAGTGGAAAAAAGCATGTTGTTCTGCTTTCCAGCTTGGATTTTGGAAAGTGGCAGAAAATTGACATGTCAAGGTATTTCAAGCTGTAATTTTTCTTCAACTAGTATTAATATACCTTTAAGTTCTTTATTTAGTCAACATCATTATTTCCAGTTTCAATGGAACCCTGCTTTGGGGACAGCAAGTCTTTTGACTTGTGAATCTTTGGAAATATAGATTATTGATTTACTTCTTTTCTGGGAAATTACCTTGGCAGATGGATGTTTACAAGCAATTCAGCATTTTATCAATACTGATCATTTGGCTTTGGTTTCAGTGGTATGCAGATATACTACGTATCCAGCACCAATCCTGATGGAAGAGATGATCACTGTGAACAACTTGGATGGGAAAAAGCTGCACGAATTACATCCTGCTCAGAGATCGTTGGGAGTATCTTAGCACCTTAGCCGAAGGATAATACGAGCTGAAAGCAATTTACCTTTTTGAAGATGAGCTGGAAGAGGAAGATTACTACCCAAGTTTGCTTTTGCTGCACTTTTTTCTTGTTTGATAGGTATTCTTCTTCGTTTTAAGGTGCATTACCAATTTAGTAATGAATGTTTGGTGGTCTCCTTTCGCAGCAGTTTTCTTTTTTTCCTTTTTTTTTAACTTTTAACATTAGCGCATTTGTAATGAAGTACTATGCCAAAAATTTTCATGTGTTGATGACCCCCCGTGTATTTTTCTGTGGCCTACTTTGTAATTTTCTATATAGGCCAAAGGATTGAAGGTCACATGCTTATTATGCTACTGTTCAGAAGGGGATAATATACAGGATGCTTTTCATTTGGCTGAGGCAGCATGCAAACTTTTGGGTCTAAATCCCCATGCTTTTCATGGTAAGTTTCATTTATACTTGAGATATCAATATTATTGCCTGCAACAGCTACTCTTTGACATCTTTTGATGCGTATGACCTATCCCAAGATCAATAGGAAAGGGGAACTAGACCAGAATTGTATTGTTGAATAGTGCCTTCTACCCTTGATCATGCCCATTTTCTAAACAATTCGACACTTACAAATGTATGTTTTTTTCACACTTGTTAGTGTTTTTGTTATTAAGAACTTCTTCAAATGCAGCACATAGTAAGAATATGGTTCTCTTGAAGGTTTACAGTTCAGCAATGCAACATTATTTTATGCATTTATCAAAGTATTTTCCAATCATATGCACCTGCTAATGGATACAGACCCCTGTTTCCTCAGTCATTTCGATGATCATAATGCTGGAAGACTATATAATTGTTTTGTTTTTATCATTTTTTTTTTTCAAAATAATACATTTTTCTGTTATTGCTGTGATGTTTGCTTCATAAGTGAAGGTCTTATGGGGGGGGGGGGGGGGGGAGGGGATTTGACCATGGCTTTTGCATTATCATCTACAATATTACTCCCTGTTATGATTCAAATGCGCTAGTCTCCAAACTTGTTTAATTGTAAGAGACTAATTTATATGGGTGCTAAAGAGCTTTTTAACCAAAACCATATTTTTCATTGCTATCGTTTGTTTGGTCTGTCAACAAATGCATTAAAAATTTAAAGCACTCAAAAGTGTTGTAATGTTTTCAGGTACTGAGAGTGGAAGTTGGGTTATCCCTTTCTCATGGCAAACTGTATATGGACCACCACCAGATATGTCTATCTTTTAGACTTTAGATCTGACCATCTATAGTAACTATCGTTGAAACGTTTGGCTTTGTTAGCAGAAAAGTAGCATGTATTGGCACTGATGGAAGCAGTCAAGAAAAATTGCTTGAGCAATTATATTATGTTAAAACTTTTGTTCAGAAATGCGTTAAAACAGTCAGTTTTTTTTTTTTTCTCATTAATCTAACATATATATATATATATATATATATATTATAAGACACGAAGTTATTGGATAAGATGTGTTGATATGAACGCTTATGTAGATAGTTTTTTTTTATGACACGTAAGATGATATTTATATTATATTATTTATCAAGTAACTTTATTTAATAAACTATTTAAATTTAATATGTTTGGATAATTATGTAAATTTAATATATTTGAATAATTATTTAAATTCAAATCAAAATCTATAAAATATTAAAAATTTTACATAAATATTAAATTCAAATATATTAAATTATAAATTATCTTTCTTTTTTAATTTAATCATAATTTTAAATATATATAGGCTTAATAAACTTTTATTTGCTTTCAAATAATTTTATTTAATAACTTATATAAATTAAATATTTTTGGATAACTATTTAAATTCAAATAAACTTTTATCAAAACTTGAAAATTTTACATAAATTTGGAATTTAAATATATGAAATTATAATTTATCTTTTCTTTTTAAATTTAATCATAGCTTTATATATATATATATATATATATATATATATTGTATGTGTATGTGTAAGCTTAATAAATTTTTATTTGTTGAAATCAAAATTTTAAAATAAAAATAAAAAGTCCATAAAATGAGATTGTCATCCCTGACCAATGGGATATTATTCGTTATTGTTAGAATTAGAAATTAAATAATAAAAAAAAATGTTATTTGATGATTATGGTTTATGTGCTTTGACAAAATGGGTAAAAATTAGAAAGAATAATAATCATATTATACTTATGAACAAATAAATTCATTTTGTACCTTAATTTTTCTTTTATTTCTTTTATTATTATTTTTTTAGTTTTAAAAATAAGTTTGTGATAATGTTGGATTGTTTTTTTTCTTTGTTTTTATAATATTGATATTTTTTAAAATTTCAATAATGAAAGGAAAATGAGCACACATTTAAATTGGTTTCAATTAGGTAATAGGTATAGTTTTTTTTTTTTTCTTATTATTGTTTTTTTGTCATTTTTTCCTCTATTTGTTTGTTTTTTCCAACCTTTTATTTGGTTTTATTTACATTATATGATATATACATTTAGATTTGATTTATTCTAAAAAAGTTGATTCATATGTGTGTGTATATATATATAGTTAAATTGGATACTTATTATGCATAAGTATAAAATATTTAAATTATATATATGTTCTCAATTTGTATATTGTTAAATCAAAATATATAAGATATTAAGAATTTTACATAAATTTTAAATTTAAATATATTAAATTATAAATTATATTTTTCTAATTTAATCATAATTTGAAATACATATAGGTTTAATAAACTTTGTTCAGTTGTCAAATAATTTTATTTAATAAATTATATAAATTTAATATTTTTGGGTAACTATTTAAAATCAAATAAAACTTTATCAAAAATTATAAAATTTGCATAAATTTTGAATTTAAATATATTAAATCATAATTTATTTTTTTCTTTTTAAATTTAATCATAACTCTACATATATGTGTGTGTGTGTGTGTGAGAGAGAGAGAGAGAGAGAGCTTAATAAAATTTTATTTGCTGAAATCAAATTTTCAAAAAAAAAAAAAAAAACTTATAAAGTGAGTGCATCACCTTCTAACTAATATTATTTTGTTTATTATTATTAGAATTAGAAATTAAAAAATGCAATCTTTTTGTTTATTTGATGATTATGATTTATGAATTTTGACAGAAATTAACAAAAACTATAAAAAATAATAACCACATCATACTCATGAATAAGTAAATTTATTTTTTGCTTTTTATTATTCTTTTATTTTTATTTTTTAATTTTAAAAATAAGTTTGTGATGGTGTTAGATTTTATTTTATACTATTAATTTTTGTTTAGATATCAATAATGAAAATAAAATGAGCGCATGTTTGGTTGGGTTCCAATTAAGTAATAGGTAGAGTTCATCACTTTTTTTTATATTATATTTCTTTTTTTTATTATTTTCCTCTATTTGTTTAGTTCTTTAAACTTATTATTTGGTTTTATTTGCATTATATAATATATGCATTTAGATTTGATTTATTCTAAAATAAATCGGTTCATATGTATATATATATACATATAGTTAAACTAGATATTTGCTATGCATAAGTACAAAAAATCTAAATTATTTATAATTTTCAATTTGTATATTTAGTTTATGTTCTAATAAAAAAACAACTATGTATGTTAAAGTATATATGTAAAAAAATAAGAACTAATAAAAAGCAAATGGTTATGGACAAATTAATAATTATGTTTTATAGTTCAATCATATTATTATTATTATTATTATTATTATTTGATATTTTATTTTTGGTTTAGCTTTATAAGATTTAATAATTTAAGAATATTTTGCTAATATAAATGTTTTTTACAATTTAATCAAATGATATATTTTTTATATATTCATATCAACATATAAACAATTATTAATCTTGATTTTTTTTTTTAATACGTCGAAGAAAAATTTTATTAAAAGTAGTGAGATGGTTATAAATATTAAATCACAATTAAGAGTACAAAAAAGGCACAAAAAGAATATAAACTCTAAAGAAATTGTACCAACATCACGTGAAGAATAAAAAAACATAGATAACAACATTTTAACACTACAAAAAAACATATAAACCAATAATAAAAATCTTGATTATTTAAAATTAAACTTTGCTTTTTTGATCAAATAAAAAAATAAGTAGCAAAATTTTCATTATTTAATAAATGAATTGAAAAAATAATTTGTATGAAAAAGAAAAAATTTCTATAATTCTTTGAAATTTTACAAAAACTTTGACTTTGAAAAAATATTACAATATATATAAACTCTTATTTAATTGTACCTTAATATTTATGAATGTATGATTATACATAATAAATCAATAAATATTTGTATATTTATTTACTAAAGTAATATAAAAAATTAAGGTTAATAAAATTTTTTTAATTATTAAAAATAATTAAAAAAATTCCATGCATGACACGGGTTAAAAATCTAGTTATTTTAATATTCTTATTCAATCCATTAAAAAACTGCTGCAATAGTCATAAATAAAGTATAGATTTTTCGTTTCCAAAATCTCACGTATAATGAGATGAGAATAGGAGAATTATAATGCAAGTTGAGTTGCCGACGTGTAAATAGTGATTAGATGGGCCCCTCAAATAAAATCTTCAAGACGTGGCAAAATTATGTTATGGTTTAAACTTTAAACATAACATAATTGGCGTCTGTCGTTTTTTAATTTTCCCACAAAAGAGATGGAAGGGGACACATAATCAAAGTACAACTGCCAAACACTTTCTTAGCTCAACATCTTCTTCCACGTGGCACCTATTTTGAAAACCTGCCAAACTGAGCTAACACTCGGAGGCTGGCCATTGGTTATTACTTTCTAGGCTTCTCTACTCCAAACTCTAAAAGTCTAAAACCAGACGGTCAAATGGTTGGTTTGTTTGTGTTGTCCACTCCTTAGTTGTCTCCTTAGCATTATAACTTGGAAGCTTCGCTTCTTTGTTTACTTGTTTTTCTTTCTCCTTATCCTTTTCATCGTTTCCAGTGTCTCTACTAACTATTTGGTGAGCAAGAGGCTGAAGAGAAGAGGGTTAATAATGATGGGAAAGAAGACTTATTTGGCAATGAAGACTGAGCAAGAAGCAAGTGATCTGATCAGTTCTGATTTCAAAGAGCTAGTCTTTGCTGCTAAAAAGCTTGCTAATCATGCCATCAAGTTGGGTTCTTTGGGACTTGGGACTTCATTTCTTGAATGGATCGCTTCCTTTGCTGCAATGTATGCCACACTCTTTATCTCTTTCTTTCTTCAATCTTCGTATGTTCATTTTCAATTTTCACTGCTCTTAATTAATTAATCCTAGATATCTAGTAGGTTTTTTTTTCTTCTTTGTTTTTATTTTCTGCTGTTAGTCTCATGGTGATCCAAACCAATCAGTCGACCGAATGTTGAATTTTGTTATGAGTGAAGGGATTTTCCAGATGTGACAGCTCGAGACTATAATTGTTGAACTGGATTGAAACCTTAAGGCTTTTTAGTTTTCATTTTGAAACGTTTACGTGTATAAGCTTTTTAAGATTCCCGCTCGGTAATTTTTTGCTATTTTTTTTTCTGATTTATCTATCTATTTTCATGATTCTGTTTGACTGTTTCTCGCGAGTTCTTTCTTTTGCCTAAAAAGTTCCTTGTTTCCTAACACCACCCTTACACTTCATTGAGGAATGGCCGCATACCAATATAGTAGCGGTCTCAAATCATTATCCTCTCAACCAGTTCAAGTATTCTAATGGTTTACTCTGTCAATATTGCTTGTGCTTAATTAATGCAGTTATTTATTGATCTTGGACCGAACAAATTGGAAAACAAATATTCTTACAGCACTATTAATCCCATATATCTTCTTGAGTCTTCCTTCCATATTGTTCAGCATCTTCAGGTAAGTCCATGCTGTGAGCTACACTTATTCGTTTAGCTCAGTTATTCCTTCTTCTTTTCCATTTTAATAAATTGTTTGGTCATGCAGTGGAGAGGTCGGAAAATGGATTGCTTTTGTTGCAGTTGTTTTGCGCTTGTTCTTCCCTAGACGTTTCCCAGGTATAATATTGATCTAATCCCTCTATTACTTGGTCATGCTTGAGCTTGATACTATCATGTATCAACTCACTAGGATCTTTCTTTTGTCTTATCATATTTGAACGATTATCCGATAAAATGGTTGGTCACCTTGTCATTTGCTCGCCAAACTATTTGCTTCCCCGTGTTCAATTTGATTGAATGTCTGAGTACTTCTGTTGGACAACTATGATGATATTCGAAATTTGTGGATAACCAGTTATTACTTAATACTGAAACTGCAGATTGGCTGGAACTGCCCGCTGCTTTGATTCTTATAATAGTGGTGGCTCCTAGCTTATTCTCAAGCACTATAAGAAGCAGCTGGGTTGGTGAGGTAATATGCCTTGCCATTGCTTGTTACCTACTTCAGGAACACATCAGGGCATCAGGTGGGTTTCGGAATTCTTTCACAAAAGCGCATGGGATATCCAACACAATTGGCATAATTCTTCTGCTAGTCTACCCTGCTTGGGCTTTGGCAATAGACATCCTGTAGGTTCAAGATCAGCAGTTCGTGGATTGTGTTTTCCTGTAACCATTAATTTGTTGAGACATACAAATTCATTGTCATTATTGTGCCATAAGACATGGTTTTGCTTTGCTCTTTGCTTTGTGCATTTGTAAGAATTCCTCATTTGAAGGACTTATAGTAATATTTTATTATTGTTGTAGAAAAATGTAGTAAAAGTTATGGGAAACTATGAATAATCCAAGACAGAGAACCTTGAGAAACTCATGTTCAGCAGGGGCAATATGCCATGCATGATGCTTAGATATTGTGGCCCAAACAACATGGAAATGATGCATTTGGGCCTAGTTCTTGCAGCGAGGCCCATTTAATGGTGAAAGGCGGTAAAAAAGAAGCCTAGTTTTGCGCCGGTGGTCAAGGGCGCGCAGTCTTCGACGGTCATATTTTTTGGCCTTTAAAAGAAAGCGAGGGTTTCTGTTCCCGCTTAGATTAGATTTCCTTTTTCCTCTCACTTTTCTGTTCTTTTCTTTTCTTCTTTTTATAAAATCCAGTTTTTGTTTCTCTGCTGCGATTTCGAGGATGTTATTGTAATTGGTCCTCTTATTGTGAAATATTTTACTATGCATATTTCAGGACTGAAAGGTAGCTCTGTTTCATTTACTCTGTTTAATCTTTATAGTCCAACAACTTTGGCTGCACTTGTTTGATGTTTTAAAGACCATATTGTTGTTCAAAGATTGTTGTTACTCGTTTGCTTTGATGATTGTTTGTGAAGCCGTATGGTTTTGTTGTTGGATACTTTTGTAAATTATTCATTTAATAGTTTTCTCCTCGATAGAAACCCTATGAAAGCTATTTATATCTGTGCATCTACATTGTGTGTTAAATATATATATATATATATATATATCTATATATATGCTTGCTTGTTTTACCATTTTAAGTACCAGTAAGGTCAAACTATACTGTCCTTGATATCCTACAAGATTAATATATACATGCTCTAAGATTTATGGTAAACAACTCAACATCGAAGTCCTTTTTGATAATGATACTTCCTTTTTGATAATGATACTTCTACCATCTAAAGCTTTCAAAAATCCTTGCTTACGATCTGTGATGAACCTGTTCTCTACACTGCTCTCTGTTATTTCCCTTATTAATGCAAGCTCTTCTTCATGACACTCCTGGCAAGAGAAACCAACACAGAAAATGAAGCTTTCTTGGACCAAATTGTCCTGTTCCATCTTATTTTAAACTTTGTTATATCCGATGGTCCGTGTTGGTTTGTTGTATTTGGGGAATAACAATTTTCTTTTATAGTCTGGATTGTTTGCTATAGATTGATGGCTGAAGCTGACAGCTCCTGCTCAAACTGCTGTCTTGTGTAATGACATGGTTAAGTGTTGAAGACGTGGTTTAGAATGTGGCTGAAGATGTTGGATATGAGGTCTACTTCCTATCGTCTTGTTTTCTTTCAAAATGTTCTATATTTTTAAAATATTTACATATAAATTATTAATTTTGGGTACAGTATTATAAAATGAATTGTTCTTCAGCTAAAAGAATTCAAGAATTCTAATGGTTTACTCTGTTTCTTTTTTTTTTTTTATAGTAATTGCAGCTATTAATCCCATTAATCTCAGTCCATTTATTAATGTGATGACTGAGGATATTTTCTTGTATGTTAACTTAAGCAAGTGTCCTTAGGCTTTGAATTCGAAGTTTGTCAAATGAACATTTCGTGTTCTCATCTTTGTTAATCGTTTCATATAATGTTTTCATTTGTATTGATCAATTATTACTTCCATTGCAGATTGGCTAGAAACACCCTCTGCTTTGATTCATCTGATGGTAGTGACTCCTGGGTCTTTTTTCAAGCTTTATAAGAAACAGCTGGATTGGTGTGGTAATATGTCTTGGCATTGCTGCTTTATATACATATGATGACAATTATTTATGCTTATGCAAATCAGACTTAAAAGCACTGCATAAATGCATGACAGATAGAAATAAGAAGCTTGCACATCCCAACTTCATCAACAAATTTTATTCTTGTAAATAGATATATATATATATATATATATATATATATATATAGCGGAGATCAATTTTCAACATCACTTTAAGTACATTAAGAATTCTTCTTTCATTAAGATTTTCAGATAAACAGAAACAAGTTTCAGCAACTACTGGTAATCGATGGCACAGCTGAGTATCGGGTTCTTGCTCTCGGAACTGCTCTTATACCTTTGGCCCCTTTGCTTCACTGTACAGTTGATCAAATTCGATCCTGCAGATGATGTTGGTATATGATAAAAATCAATTCCATGTGAATAATATAACTTTCACATTTTACCATCAACTGTGTTTTGTTCTTTTATAAGGTCCCAAGGAATTATTTGTTCTTGACAGGAAAAAAGGGATAGAAAAGAATACCTTGTAGTATTTGAGCAGTTGCGGCCTCTTCAGTTTAAATGTTGGGGTTACCAGATCCCTCTCAATGTCAAAGGGATTCGGCTCCAAGAACACTGCTTTTAACATCTCAAAGCCTCTAAGCTGTGTAAGTATAGATTTTGTATTGGTTGAGAAAAGAAATTCATATTATTTAAATTGCAGAGCTAGGAAGAAAAAAATGTGACATTTTTCTACATACTTGATGTTTCTGACCAGTGCGATTTAGCTCGTCTAAAATGTATTTCCTTGCCTTCGGGTTTTCACACAATGATTTGAAATCAATAGCTTCATTATGTTCTATCGCCCAATCCTCCAGTGCCTTTCTTTCAGGGACTACCACAGCCACAAGAAATGACTCCAAACTGTTCCCATAAACCCAGATCTGACCATTGGAAAGTTTAAGAAACCCACATTTAGGGCAATCTTGGAATGTGTTATGCTTAAATGTTATAGCATAGAGATAAATCCTATTAATGGAAACACATAATGAGATGTTCTGTTTCTGTTCAGTAGCAATTTCACTTGTGCAGTATAAAGCAACATACCGACGCTATAAGGGGGCAACGTGAGTATGTATTCTCAACATTCTCCACAGCAACATATTCACCTTGAGAAAGCTTGAAAATATTCTTTTTCCTGTCAATGATTTTCATTGTTCCATCCGATTGCAATTCGCCAATGTCACCTATCACAATCTCAACATGTTTATATCAGTAAGACTAAATGTTCTGATTTTCTCCACTTCATCTGATGATTCTTAAGCTAGTCAGAAAGAGGAAAAAAAATACAGGTAATCAAGAAATTTTTTTTTCTCTGCATATTATAACTTTGATGCAAATTGGAAGGTTTGTACCTGTATGAAACCACCCATCAACAAGAACTTCATTGGTTAGATCTTGTCTCTTGTAGTAACCTGAGAACAAGGTGTTTCCTCTCAGGCATATTTCTCCACGAGGCACACTGCAAAGTGCATCATATCCCATCTCTGGCACTGACTCAAGCCTTGCTTCAATGGTTGTTATGGGAACGCCAACAGTTCCAATCATAGACATTACGTTGGCGAGGGAGCTAAAACACCCACCACAGCTCTCAGTCAAACCTATCATGTTAAAACATCAGAAAAATCAGAGGAATTTGTATAGCCAAAACATATTGGCCACTAACAGTTAGTGAATGATAACTGGTTGATGTTTGATTTCACTTAAAAATTCCTAAGTGGTTTCTGCCATATTTGATGAATTCTGAAATGATATGAATTATTTGAAGTAGGACAAAAATAAAAGAAAAGAACTCCTCTGACCATATCCTTGTGATAAATTAGAGCAGCTGGAGACCCGCAAAAATTCCTCCACATGCCTAAGCAAAGGTGCTGCACCAGAAAACATTATACGAACTTTGCCTCCCCAATGCTTGTCTTACCTACAAGAATTAACTACTTATAGCAAGTAAAGCACGAATCTTAATCCGAATAGAGAAAAGATGTGTGGATGAAAAACCTTGTCGAAGACCAATTTGTCCAAGAGAGGGGCTGCTTTGTCTGTCGGAATCCAATCTCCATATTTCTTAATTTGCTGTTTGTAGCTTTTCCATTAGTTGGACAGCAGACTAGACTAACAATCAAGTAAATCCAACAAAGGGGATTTGCAATAAAACTTACTAGTTATAAGCAAACTGGAACAATTTATTCCGAAGTGCGCACCAGATCAATTTTGTTAACAATACCTTCAAGCACAAATTTCATGGATATTGCTCAGAACAACTGGTATCAACAGTATGAAATTACATATTCGTCGCAAAGATAATTATCCGTATGTACCAGTGTATATGCGGTCATATACTCTTGGAACCCCACAAAATACAGTTGGCTTTAGTTCCTGGATATCTTCCATCAAATAACGGATATCCTGGAAGTAAAGGAAGAGAGCTGGACTAGATGCCTTTATACTAAAAAGAGAAAAAGACAACGGAAAATTGTACAAATTATGGCAATTTTAATCTTACCCCTTGCCAAAATCCTATTGAGGAACCACTTTTGATAAAATAAGTCTCCATTATCTGATCATATACATGAGCCAGAGGAAGAAAGGAGAAATATGTATCTTCTTCGGAACACTGTAATGCAAAATTATATCACCAAAACTGAAAATTTTTTCAAGCTTAACAAGAAAAAAAAATCAAACAATCTTTTCTATTTTAAGAGTTGAGCCATTTCATTCAATTTAACTTTCTATGTCATACAAAAATTTTGTTTCTTTGTTTTTGACATTAATTCTTCCATTTTTTTTTTACCATGCATGTTTTTCCCTAACAAGGTTTATGTTTGCTTTCTCACCGCTCTGTCTGTAATGTCTAATAGTTGATCTATAGACAACACTTCTGTCATGATTGCCCTGTTTGTGAGAATGACTCCTTTTGGTTCTCCTGTTGTTCCACTAGTATACATAATAGTGCAGATACCAGTCTTCTGTTTTGGAGGAAGTTCACAATCCAATGAACCCTGCAGAACATTAGAAATCAGGTAAATTTTTGTGTAAAATCTAACTGAATTGACCAGTGAAACATCGTTTTGATCAAAGTCTTACCAACTCAGAGAACTCCTTCCAAGAAAAGAGAGATACCCCAAGTTCTTCAGCTTCCTTTTTCTGTGTGCTAGAAACACATGCAAAGCTGACAATAGCTAGAAAAGGAAGATAAATACTTTAATTGTTAACCTACTGCTCTAGAAATAATTAAATGATCTTAAATGTCAAAACATCTAATTGATTTTCCACTTACTTTTAAGTAAGAAGAACATGCTGGAAGGCATGATAGAATCTGCGCATAATTACAAATATATTGTGAACAAACTAAATGAAATGCTGCTCAAAATTCATAAAACATATACTAAGAATAACCAGGTTCAGTTGCAATGACAACTTACGGAAGGGAGCTTATTCTCTTGAACAAAGCTATTGAAACTTCGGCATGGTTAATGATGAACTCCACTGCATTAGCACTGCAACAAAGTAAAAGCAGATAAATTTATCACCTCAAATGAATTGAAGAATGAAGAATGTACTGAAAAATAGAAAATGTCATACCAAGAGTATCATATAGAGGTACATATGTTACAGCTTGACTGTTACAAGCCTGTAAAGAGGGGAAAACAAACAAATTACCTAAGTTTGTAA